ACAGCGTCAGCCTGGTAAATGTTTTTTGAAACATGAATCTGATCACATCACTTCCTTATTATAGCTCAATTTTCTCAAAAGGTTTCACATATTACTGAGCCAACCCACTAGTCATAGCCCCAATCAAACATGTCCAGTTGTCCAGACAATTGTGACATCTTCAGCTTTATATGGTTAAGAAGATAGTGACCTTGACACAGTATAAATATATGTGCAATCCATCTTAAGTGCAATTCCTTATACACCCAAGTTGGTTCTTCTCTAATGCCTCCTCTTGTAGTTATATTTGATTTTATTACTAGTTTTCATTCAAATCCACTGGGGAATGGGATGATTTTGTTTTTCTTTTATGGTCAGGAGTTTTTTCCATTTTGAAGGTCTTGTGAGAAGACATGGTGAGTAAGAGTCAGGTACACTCACCACAATGGCAGAGAAAAGGAGCTACAGCTCAGATTTTATTACTCTTTTAAGACTCTATGATTCTACCAACCACATGCTGCTACCATTACTTCTTATTTATTTTTATTTTATATAAAAGGCAGAGACAGATCTTCCATATGCAGGTTGACTCCTTGAATGCTGAAACTAGGAGCCAGAAACTCCATCAGGATCTCTCACATGGGTGACAGGGACCCAAAACTTGGGGCATCACCTGTTGCCTCCCAAGATGCACATTAGCAGGAAAATGAATCAGAAGCTCAGTTGAGATGCAGACTGGGAACTCCACTACAATATGTGGGAATTCAAATAATATCCTTTTTCTTAAGGATTATTTATTTATTTAAGAGGTAGAGTTAAACACAGAGAGAGGGAGAAATATAGAGAAAGGTCTTGCATCCACTGGCCCACTCCCTAGATGGCCTCAATAGCTGGAGCTGAGCTGATCCAAAGGCAAGAACCAGGAGCCTCTTCTAGGTCTCCCACATGGGTACAGAGGCCCAAGCACTTGGGCCATCTTTTGCTGCTTTCCCAAGCCATAGCAGAGAGCTGAATCAGAAGAGGAGCAGCTGGGACTTAACTGGCGCCCATATAGGGATACCAGTGCCACAGGAGCAGGCTTTACCTGCTGGCCCCCCAAACAGTATCTTAACTGCTGTGACAAATATCCACCCATCTGCTATCTTTGATCTGGAATGTTCTTTGTCTTTATCATAGTAATTACTAGTATAGATTCTATTACCTGGGTTCACTTACTACCTTTGTGACCTTAGTTCATTCATTTGTAAAACAGAGATGGCAACATTTCTTCAGGGGTTATGAGAGAATAAATAAGTTGCTGTGTGTAAATAGCTTAGAAGAGCACCCAGCACACACTAAATGCTCTCTATGTTTGTTGAAGAAAATAAACAAACATAAGATATATTCTAAGATAACAGAAACCCAGATTCTAGAACAAGACTTCCTGCGTCTGAGTTTGTCTCTAAGAACTGTATACTGTGAGATCTATGGTATATTATTTAGCCATTCAGTTTCCTCACTTAAAAGTAAAATAACAACCTAATAGGTCTACTACGAAGATAAATAAATTAACATGGAAAGGGGTTAGAATAGTACCAAGACCACATCAAATGTTATATATTACTATTATTTTCCAGTTACCATCTCCATTATCATTTCTTCACAGAATCTTCAATCTGTTAGTCTAGGGTCTCTTTCATTTGCAGTCATAGAATTGTATTTTTTAATTTAAGAATCATTATCTCAGTTTCTAATTATAAATTTGTAACTTATTTAGTGACTTATTAACTTCTTAGTGACTTATTAACCTCCCATTAAACTATTAAGTTCCATTCAAGAAGATACTGATACTTATACACCCAAGTTGGTTCTTCTCTAATGTCTCCTCTTGTAGTTATATCTGATTTTATTACCAGTTTTCATCCAAATCCATTGGGGAATGGGATGATTTTGTTTTTGTTTTGTGGTCAGGAGTTTTTTTTGCCACTAATAGGCATCCCAATATTAATGAATGAATGAAATGGCTAACTAAAATATTTTTGAAATGTTTGACAATATGACAAATTTCTGAAATATTTAATACCCAGTAATATATTAACATTATCAAATAATAAGTAATAACTTAATTTTAATATTTGAGAATATAAGTAGCCTTTGGATATGTTAAATGAAATATAACTAGGCTATAAAACACATGAACAGGGCAGGCATTATGGTGCAGCAGGTTAGTCTGCTGTTTGGTGTGCCAGTTTGACTACTGGCTACTTTGCTTCTGATCCAGCTTCCTCCTGTATTGTGGAAGGCAGCAGATGATAGCTTAAGAGCTTGGATCCCTGCCATCCATGTGGGATACCCAGAAAGAGTTCTCTGCTCCTGGCTTTGGCCTGGACCATTCCTGTTTCCTACTGGCATTTGGGCAGTGGAACATCTGACAGATGATCTCTCTCTGTCATTCAAGTAGATGAAAATAATAAACATTAAAAAAATACAAATAGCCATTAATAATCTGCAATCCCCCAAATATTTACTCTTTACATTTTTTTTAAAAGATTGATTTATTTATTTGAAAGTCAGAGTTACGCAGAGAGAGAGAGAGAGGTCTTCCAACTGCTGGTTCACTCCCCAGATGGTTGCAACGGCCGGGACTGTACCGATCTGAAGCCAGGAGCCAGGAGCCTCCTCCGGGTCTCCCACGTGGGTGCAGGGGTCCAAGGACTTGGGCCATCTTCCACTGCTTTCCCAGGCCACAGCAGAGAGCTGGATCAGAAGAGAAGCAGCCGGACTAGAACAGGCACCCATATGGGATGCTGACACTTCAGACCAGGGCCACAGCACCGGCCCCTACTCTTTACATTTATTATAAACCATTTAAAATTTTTTGTAGGGGCCACCGCTATGGGATAGTAGGTTAAGCCTCTGTGTGTGGCCCCAGCATCCCTTCTGGGAGCTGGTTTGAGTCCAGTTGCTTCAGTTTGACCCCAACTCCCTGCTAATGGCCTGGGAAAGCAGTAGAAAGTGGCCCAAGTGCTTGGGCCCCTGCACCCACGGGGGAGACTGGGAAGAAACTCCTGGCTCCTGGGTTCGGATCAGCCCAGCTCCTGCGGTAGTGGCCATTTAGGGAGTGAACCAATAGATGGAAGATCTCTCTCTCTGCCTTTGCCTCTGCTTCTCTGTAACTCTTCCTTTCAAATAAATAAATAAATATTAAAAAAAAAAACTGTATTACAGTGTAGCTATAAAACTCAGGAACTATGCCATTAATGTTCTATACCTTACAACCACCCACAGTAAGGTACAGCTGCTGCTTGTCAAAATGAAAATCCAACAACACATTTTTCATCTGATTGGGAATGGTTAATATGAAGACATTATGGGCTGGCGCCGCGGCTCAATAGGCTAATCCTCCACCTAGTGGCGCTGGCACACCGGGTTCTAGTCCCGGTCGGGGCGCCGGATTCTGTCCCGGTTGCCCCTCTTCCAGGCCAGCTCTCTGCTGTGGCCCGGGAGTGCAGTGGAGGATGGCCCAAGTGCTTGGGCCCTGCACCCCATGGGAGACCAGGAGAAGCACCAGGCTCCTGCCTTCAGATCAGCGTGGTGCGCCGGCCGCAGGGCGCCAGCCGTGGCAGCCATTGGAGGGTGAACCAACAGCAAAGGAAGACCTTTCTCTCTGTCTCTCTCTCACTATCCACTCTGCCTGTCAAAAAAAAAAAAAAAAAAAAAAAAAAAAAAAAAAAAAAAAAAACATTATGAAGTAGGTACACTACCTTTCTGCAGTGCTATGGGCACAAGGGGAGTTCATGACCCAGGGACACAGTGTACAACACCTGCCTTTCCTGCAGTGCTTGTTGTGTTTCTTGATAACCTTCTGAAAGGATTTCAAACCTACAATCCATCTTCTATTTTTCTTTATAAAAAATCACTGCAAAATAACAATTGCTAACATATCAAATACTTAAAGTCAACATAACCTTCAGATTAGGTATATGTTGGTATTTTTATTATTATCATCCCATCTTAAACATTCTTTGTTTTAAAGATTTATTTATTGGCGCCGGCACTGTGGCATAGGTTAATAAACCTCTGACTGCAGTGTAAGTATCCCATATACATGCTGGTTTGAGTCCTGGCTGCTCCACCTCTGATCCAGCTCCCTGTTAATGAACCTGGGAAAGCAGCAGATCACCCAAGGACTTGGGCCCTTGCACCCACATGGGAGACCCTGAAGAAGCTCCTGGCTTCTTGTTTCAGCCTTGCCCAGCCTTGGCCATTGTGGCCATTTCAGGAGTGAACCTGCCTTTCAAATAAATAAATAAATAAATCTTAAAAAAAAAGAGATTTATTTGAAAGGCAGAGTTACAGAAAGAGTGATAGAGAAGCAGAGAGATTTTCACCCATAGGTTCACTCCTTAAACGGCCACAAAGAGCAGAGCTGTGCCTGGTTAAAGCCAGGAGCTTCACCCTCCCACATGGATGCAGGGGCCCAAATACTTGGGCCATCTTCTATTGCCATCCCAGGCACATGAGTAGGGAGCTGGATCAGAAGTTGTGTAAAGGGACTTGAACTAGCACCCATTTGGGATGCCAGCATTGCAGGCGGCAGCTTAGCCCACTACATCCCAACACACCAGGGCCTCCACCTTAAACATCCTAATAATGGGATTCATTGAATAACTTTATTCATTATGAAAGAAAGCTTGGCCTGGCCTTGTGACACAGTGTGTTAGGCTGCTTCCTGCAATGCCGGTAGGAGTCTCAGCTGTTCCACTTCCCATCCAGCTCCCTGCTAAAGTAGGAACAAAAAAAAAAAGATGGCCCAAGTGCTTTGGCCCCTGCACTCCATGTAGCAGACCTAGAAGAAATTCCTGGCTCCTGGCTTTGTCCTGGCCCAGCCTCAGTTATTACAGTCATTTGGGGAGTGAACCAGCAGATGAAGATCTCTCCCTCTCTCTATAACTCAGCTTTTCAAATAAACAAATAAATATTTTTTAAAAAGGCAAAAAAAAAGAAGCTTGATAGTAAACTATGATAACAGCTCCTCATACCTGGTGTGTATGTAAAACGTTGAGACTGGCTTTTTTTCCTCTTGCCATTGCAAAGATAAAAGTGCACCTGCACTGCAGCTGTAACTGCTGGGTTATGATATGGAGGAACTTCAAGGACAATGTGAGCCTAAGAAACATGGAAAGCAAGATTGTGTTACATGCAGATCTAAAAATGAAATGCACCTGCTAACCTTAGAGCAGTTCATGAATCTTAACTACAAGTCTCCCCCATCATAGATAATCATGCACATCAACTGGTCATGTAAGTCATCTGGAGATTTACTATATAGCTACTAGTCTTAACAGAGATAAGCCCCTTCCATCATTCAAGGAACGACTCCTTTTTATTCACTCAATTTTGAGTTTCTAGATGTTGCCAGGAAAAGGAGGTTTGTAGAAATAAAAGGTCTTATATACTACTGAGTGAGATACTTTATTTTACTGAACATTACATGTTACCACACATCTTAAGAGAAGCCCCTTCTAGTTTTTAATCATGTTTAATTTTTCCCAAAGTGTGCTATCGTTTAGACTTCTTATCTTAAATTTTACAGTCAAAATATTCTAAATTGGCAGTACATAAAAGGTGTACCCATTTAAAAAATAATTTTACACAAGAAGAGTGAAAACCTGTAGCCCCCACCCAAATGCAATCCTCAATCTAACTGTTACCCCTGAGAAGATTCTCTGTATTCCAACCAGGATGAAAGTATCACAGTGAAAGTTTTCACTGCAGAAACCTGGAAGACTTATTAAGTAGCTTAGGAGTTAGCAATGCTGTATTAAATACACAAATCCCTATGAGCTTGTCTACCATCCTCTGCCCATTATATATCTTCTTTACTGAATGTTCTGATTTCTTCACTGAATTCAGAGAAATAAATTAATGATAATTTCAATAAGAACCTTCCCATAGTCTTCATTATTCTGACAATCATTTCCTTTTTCTTATACACAAAAAAGAAGAAAATGGTTTACTTTTCCTAAATTTTAATACCAGGAAAATATCTCACTCACTCACTTTTTCTTTTTCTACTAGCTAGTATAGGACTCCTCAGCACTATTCAATTTTCTTAAATTAAGTTTCTTAAATATTTAAGAATATTAAATTTCTTACCCCTTGACATTTTTCCCTGATTATTTTCCCCTCTACCTCCCACTGAGGTCGTCCATCTATGGAAGAAAAAATTTACAGTTAAAAAGCAATCCAAGTCAGAAAGCATACAACAAAATCTAATGCATGAAGTAATCATAAATTTATCAGATAGAGAAAGATTCTCTTGCTGACTTCCTTTATGAAATAAAATGTATACTCTTGGGGAAAAAATAGGGAGAAAGACCTTGGGCTACCCAGGTTAATAAGCCTCGGGGTGTTTTCTACCCCATCAAACCAAATGATGCTTGAAAACCCTCACAACGCAGGGCCAACTTTTGCTTGTGTACCTCAAATGATGGAAAACTCATCTCCCCACAAGGTAACCCATGCTATCTTTGGACAATGGCTGCTAGAAAATTCCTCATGGCAGGTGACAACTATTTCTTTATGTTAGCTAACCACTGGTCAAAGTACTTGTAGCCACGAAAAACCAACAAAAACACAAACTCGAGTGCTTCTCATCAGACAGTTCAGATGCTGAAAAGCAGCAGCTATCTCTTCCTCCAGGAACCGGAGTTCCACACCTATCCCTTACACATTATTTTAGCCTTCTTGGTCATTCTTTGAAAATGCTCTCCAGTGTGACCACGTTCCTCCAAATGCAAGGGCTTATAATAACCCAGGTAAGAATTGTCCAAGCATGAGAGAGAGTGACAGAGGCTCTCATCACCCTTTGTGGGATGTTTTGTTAATCAAAGTTTTCTCAGCACCTGTATCATGCTGACTTCAAGTGTATGGCCAACAAGTATCCCTGAGTTTATCATATTTCCTACAGCCAAGTTTCCACATTGTGTTCGTACACAGGTGTTCCCCTCCCACCCCAGCTCTTGTAACACTATTTTCTATCAGTAAGGAGACTTGACTTTATGGATCACTTGACCTATCAAAATCTCTATAGAGGGGTGAGCACTGTAGCACAATGGATTAAACCACTCTTGGCAATGTCTGCATCCCACTTGGTGTGCCTGGTTAGAAACCTGTCTACTCCATGCTTTGGATCCAGCTTCCTGCTAATGTGCATGGGAGGAAGTAGATGATTACCCAAGTACTTGGGTACCAGCCACCCACACAGGGGATGCAGATAGATAGAGCTCCTGGCTCCTGGCTTCCACGTGATCTACTCCTGGCTGTTGCAGGTATATGGGGGAATAATTCAGCAGATGAAAGCTATCTCTGTCATTCTGCCTTCCAAATAAATAAATCAGGGCCAGTGCTGTGGCACAGCAGGTTAACGCCCTGGCCTGAAGCACCAGCATCCCATTTGGGCGCCAGTTAGAGACCCGGCTGCTCCACTTCCAATCCAGCTCTCTGCTGTGGCCTGGGAAAGCAGTGGAGGATGGCCTAGGTCCTCGGGCCCCTGCACCCACGTGGGAGACCCGGAGGAGGCTCCTGGTGCAGCTCCGGCTGTTGTGGCCAATTGGGGAGTAAGCCATCGGATGAAAGACCCCTCTCTCTCTGCATAACTCTACTTTCAAATAAATAAATAAATCTTCTTAAAAAATCTTTTTAGAAACTGATAGTCTTTTTTTTTCTTTTTCATTTTGAACAAGAAGTTTATCTGAACAACAAGACACCTGACTGGAAGGGAAAACTATCTAGGATTCATGTTTTTTTAAGAGTAATTTATCCCTACTTAAGGACAGATTGCCCTACACGTAACAGCTACGTACAGAAAAGTTATAAAATTGTCCTTGGTTTTACAATGATAAATTAAAAACATTAAAATTAGAAACAGATGTTCTAAACTATTTGTTTGACTTTCCAGATTTGTGTTAACTAAAGATATGGTTAATACATCTTCTGTCTCTTCATTCCCAGATATACTTGAAGAGAATCCCACCTGCTAATAAAGCTTTTACTACAGATGGATGTGGAGCTTTTCAAAAGCATTCTTTTTGTTTCATGAGGATTCATTCACCCAGTGACTAAGCTATAGAAGTATCTTCACACCTACCACGACTTCTCCATCTGGTCTGTGAAGTTTCCAGAAAATTTATTAGATGCCATCCAGACGTGACTATCATCTTCCAGGCTAGTAAATAGATAATGGCTAGCTCTGCTGCATAGGAGACACCATAGGTAGGTGCTATTCCTACTTGGAATTATAGCTCAGTTTAGCAATCATTTGCTGGATCACTATGTAGCAGACACCTTACATTACTGAGATAACTGAGACAGAATACCTGTCAGTGTATGAATGAGAAACAAACATAAACAGTTTATTACAGTGAAATGTAATGGGCATGGTAACTAACCAAAATTCACTCTGACTAGGCTCAGAGCACAGGGGTCAGAGTCTTTACCCTAATCTTGGGATGGAAGAATGAGACAAGGAAGGCTTCCTGGAGGAGCTTTTAAACTGAGACTTAAAGGTAGAACTCATCATGTAAGAGAAGGGTGGTAAAGAGAGAGAGAAGAGAGAGAGAGAGAGAGAGAGAGAGAGAAGGGTGGTCTAGGCAGAAGAGATCACATGAACCAAAGGCAAGACAGCAAGAAACCCCATGATACAGGGACCCATAAGCAATTGTGTTGGTAGAATTGTTAAGAGTCAAGGAAAAGTAAGAAATAAGATTGGAAAGATAAGCAGCAGGTGATGGCCAGAATGCCATATTACAGAGCACGGAAAAGGAAGGGAATCACCAAAGGTGATTTTAGAATGGGAATTAAACATTCACAATTACAATCTCATCTTTTTATATTTTTTTTATTTTTATTTTTTGACAGGCAGAGTGGACAGTGAAAGAGAGAGAGACAGAGAGAAAGGTCTTCCTTTGCCGTTGGTTCACCCTCTAACGGACGCCATGGCCGGCGCGCTGCAGCTGGCGCACCGCGCTGATCCAAAGACAGGAGCCAGGTGCTTCCTCCTGGTCTCCCATGGGGTGCAGGGCCCAAGGACCTGGGCCATCCTCCACTGCACTCCCAGGCCACAGCAGAGAGCTGGCCTGGAAGAGGGGCAACCGGGACAGAATCCGGCGCCCCAACCAGGACTAGAACCCGGTGTGCCGGCACTGCAGGCCTACAATCTCATCTGAAGCCAGTACCTGCTATCATTTTTGGTCAAAAGCTCTTAAAAGTGAAGTTCTGGGTTACATAAAATGAATTCTATAATGAAACTACAGTATACATACATAGTAACTGTATTTGGGAACAAACAAATTCTTGAAATGGAAGGAAGGAATAGGTCTGAAACAGTCTCTTCTTTATGCTCTTTGTCTAAAATGTGACCTTGATCATTTGACATAAACATTTAATTATTCAGTTTCTATTACTGCATCCTCTTAATTCACAGCAATTTTGTCTAGAAATATCTTGTTTCCCTATTTACATTTGTTGTTTGCTGCCCTCACTAGGACATAATAAGCTCTATCAGAGCAGGTAACCTGCAAGTTTTATTCATCATTATACCTCCAATGCATAGATGAGTATCTATATCATTGTGTCAGTGTATATAGCAATGCTTTATAAATAAATGATACATTAGTAAGTTGTAAAACTAAACTGACAGGGGCCAGCACTGTGGCAAAGTAGGATAACCATCTGCCTACAGAACTGGCATCCGATATGGGTGCCAGTTCAAGTCATGGCTGCTCCACATCCAATCCAGCTCCCTGCTGATGGCCTGGGAAAGCAGTAGAAGATGGCCCAAGTCCTTGGGGCCCTGCACCAGCCTGAAGGAAGCTCCTGGCTCCCAGCTTCAGATCAGCTCAGCTCCAACAGTTGTGGCCTTCTGGGGAGTGAACCAGCAGATCGAAGACCTCTTTCTCTGTCTCTCTCACTATTTGTAACTATGTCTCTCAAGTAAATGAATAAATACTAGAAAAAAACACAAAACTGATATGTCTTTTTAAAAAACTTATTTGAGAGACAGAGAGACAGAAAGAGAAATCCCCATCACTGGTTCAAATGTTTGCAACAACCAGGGCTGGGTCAGCAGCCAGGAATCCAATCTAGGTCTCCCATGTGAGTAGCATGGATTCAGCTACTTGAGCCATTATCTGAGGCATTACCGGCTGCCTTCTAGAGCACATATTAGCAGAAAGCTAGAATTGGAAGCAAAGCCAGGACTCACACCAAAGCACTCTGATTTGAGATATAGGGTGCCCAACAGCCACCTTAATCAATAGGCCAAATGCTTGCCATGAGAACTGATATTTCTTGAAGAAAGACATGATACCAGGCTGGGTTAAAAGGGCCTGAGGGAAGCAAATTTTTAAAAAATATTTATTTGAAAGGCAGAGGCTGAAGCAGAGAGAGGGAGATCTTCCATCTGCTGGTTCACACCCCTAGTGGCCACAAGGCCAGAGCCAGGCTGATCCAAGGCCAGGAGCCAGGAACTTCTTCCAGGTCTCCCACATGGGTGCTGAGGCCCAAGCACTTGGGAAATCCTCTGCTATTTTCCCAGGTGTATCAGCAGGAAGATGGATTGAAAGTGGAGCAGCCAGGACATAAACTGGTGCCCATATGGGATGCCAACACTGCAGGTGGTGGCTTCACCCACTACACCACAATGCCAGCCCCCAGGAAAGTAAATTTTAAGGGAAAAGCAGACTGATAGCCATTTGGTTTCCAACTGAAGAAGTTGGTACTAGTATTACTAATCAGGTTAAGGAATCAAATGAAATAAACCAACTTGTGAAGTCAGATATCTTGTCATATATTAAGGATGAGTGGGACATTTACATAGCAATATTCTGTACTTTAAAGTGTGCACCAGAATTGAGAGAGAGAGAGAGAATATGGCTATGGAAAGAGAGATCTGGGGAGTAATGAAATTTCCCAGGAAGAAGAAATATGATGAAAAGAAAACTAAATACAGAATCTCAGGAAACATCTGTATTTAAGTTCCAGAACTGATAAAAAAAAAATTTCATGTCTTTGAACCAGATAAATAAAAATGTACAAAACAAAGAGAAAAAAAGAGTGTCAAGAAGAAAAGTGGATAGCTGGCTGTTAACTGGATTTTAGTAGGTAAAGATTTCAAAAGGAAGAGAAATGATTAAAGTGTAAGTCACAGGGGTCAGCACTGTGGCATAACAGGTAAAGCCGCCGCCTGTAGTGCCTGCATTCCATTTGGGTGCTGGTTTGAGTCCCAGCTGTCCCACTTCTGATTTAGCTCTCTGCTATGGCCTGGGAAAGCAGTAGAAGATGGTGCAAGTGCTTGGGCTCCTGCACCTATGTGGGAGACATGGAGGTAGCTCCTGACTCCTGGATTTGGATCAGCATAGCTCCGGCTGTTGCAGCCATCTGGGAAGTAAACCAGCAGATGGAAGACCTCTCTCTCTCTCTCTCTCTCTAACTCTGCCTTTCAAATAAATAATAAATAATAATTTTCCTTCAGTTATAATGTTCTAATAAATAAATTTGAAATTTGTGTCAATAAATCTGAAAACATGATGAAATGAATACAGTCTTGGAAAAATACAAATGACCAAAATAACTCGGGAAGAAATAAATTTGACTAGTGCTACACCCATGAACAGAATTATATCAGAAATTAATAGCTTCATACAAAGACAGGCTCCCAGGCCAAAAGGTTTCAGAAATGAGCTGTATCACATGTTCAAGGGAAGGCGAGACTACCTAACACAGACACTTTCAAACAGGGGAAAAAGATGGGGTACTTCCCCAATTCACTTTGATATTCAGAATATATACAGAATTCTTATTAAGTTAGTAAGAAAATAAAACCCAATGGAGAAAATAGGCAACAACATAAACAGATATGGTAAAAAATGAATGTTGAATGCCCGTAAGATCTTGGATATCAGGAAATACAAATCCAGAGTTCAAGAGAACATTTTTGCTGAATATACTAATAAACCTGAAGAATTATGAAATCTTGTCTATGTCTACCAATGATAAGAACCAGAATGTTTACAGCAGCATTGCTAGCTACTATGCAGCAGTGCCAAAATTCTATATAGCCCAAAACTCCAGTAAAATACGTAATGAAGTAGGGTAAATTCATACCGTGAAAAACACAGACTAGTCAAAGGAAAAGATCTTTGGTTAGATAGATCAATCTTGAAACATTAATGTTAATGTCTGAAAAAAAGCAATTTTCAGAAGATTACATGCAGAATTACAGAAAGTTTAAGAACGGGGGAAAATTCATATAAAATAAACTATAAGGAAAAGCAAGGATTGTTCAGGTGAGGGATCTGTTTGGAAAGGGGAAACAAGGGGCCTTCAAAGGTAAATTTTTTTTTTAATGTTTTATTTCTTAAACTGGTTAGAAGGTATAATTACTTGTTATGTTGCTGCAAGAATGACATTTCACAGTTTTTAAAATGAGGAAATAACTGAAGGAAAATGTTTAAATATGCTAAAGAAAGGATAAATCAAATATCCTGAAAGGAGTGAGCGTTTGTCTGGTGAGTAGCATGCCCACATCTCACTGCAGTGTCTGGGTTTGATCCTGAGCTCTGGCTCCAGCTGCTGAGTTCAGTTTTCTGCAAGGCAGACTCCAGATGGCTCAAATAATTAAGGTTCCAGCCACCTACACGGGAGACCTGGATTGTGTTCCTGCTTCTTGCCTCTGGCCCTAGACATTATAGGAATTTTGGAGAGTAAACAACTCTGTGTCTCTAGTGCAAAATTTAAAAACAAATAAAAACACCCTCATAAACCCAGGGTTCTTCCCCTTTTTAAAAACTGAGATGTAATTCACATATGCAAAATTCATCCTTTTAAAGTTGACAATTCGGTTTTTTGTATATTCAGAGTTCTGCAAGTACCACCACTATCTAATTCCAGAACCTCTTCATCATCCCAAATTCTTGTCCCCATTAGTGGTCAGTCCCCGCTGATATCCTCCCTCTAACTCCTGACAAACATTAATGTACTTTCTGTCTTTATGGTTTGCTTATTCTAGACATTTTATATAAATGATGCCATATCATATATGATCTTTGGTGTTGGCCTCTTTCACTTAATATAATATTTTCAAGTTTCACCCAGTTTATAGCATGCATCAGTATTTTATTAATATTTAGGGCTAAAGAACAGCATTTTGTGGACATGCAACATTTTGTTCATTCACCGACTGGCAAGGATTTGGGTTGTCCTTTTTTCCTTTTTTTTTTTTTTTTTAAGACTTATTTATTTGAAAGGAAGAGTTCCAGAGAGAGAGAGAAAGAGAGAGACAGATCTTCCATCTGCTGGTTCATACCTCAAATGGCTGCAACAGCTGTCCCATTTCCATCTTTTTTCTATTATCAGTGAAACTGCTATAAACATTTGTGTTTGAGTTTCTGTGTGTGTACATGTATGTTTTCAATGTGTCTGAATATATACCTAGAAGTAGAAACGCTGGAAGAATTCTTCGACTTTTAAGAAACCCTTGGGGCCAGCATTGTGATACAGTGGGTTAAGCTGCTACTGCAATACTGCATCCCATTATCATACCACTGGCTGCAGTCCTGACTGCTCTACTTCTGATCCAGCAAAAAACAGTGTAAGATGGCCCAAGCTGGGCCCCTACCTCTCACATGAGAGACCTAGATAGAGTTCCAGTTTCCTAGCTTCAGCCCGGACCACTCGCAGCCACTGCAGCCATTTGGAGAGTCGATCAGTAGATGGAAGATTGACCTCAATCTCTTCTTCCTCTCCTTCTCCCCCTCCCTCTCTCCCTCCCTCTTTACTCTCTTTCCTCTTTTTCTCTGTCACTCTTTCAAATAAATAAAATCATTAAGAAGAAATCCTTAAAGAGAATTAAACATTTATATGAAAATTTAATGTTTGATTTACAATAAAATCTAATGCCTGTTGCTTTAAGTGAACTATTTTGTTGATTAATGTTACTGAAACATGTAAATAATTTATTTTACCTTTTGCCCTTTAGTTTGAAGTCAAGCAACTCATATGCTATTTACCTTGTCCTTTCTCAAGAAAAATGATTTTGGATTCTGGGAGAAAATTAGATCCAGTCACAATCATTTCATGACCTCCATTCACAGAACAACTGTTAATACTGTACTTCTCAATATGAGGAAGCTCTTGAGCAGATCGCTGGGCTGGATTTTTTTTAAAAAGAGTTGAGAAAAAACAACATTAGTATAAAAATTTTCAGATATGTACAGCAAACTCAAGCCACAAAATGAAAATAAAGAGAAGTAAATTTGGGGATTAATTCATTCAGGCTTTTAAAATTCAAGACAATAGTAATGATATCCACTAACAGAACTATATTGTTTAGAAAAAAAATGTTTATTAGACTTACACGATTTCTAAGTTATTTACTTAGACTATAATTAAAGGAACTAACAGAGAAATTATACATCATCTTCAACTTCATATTGACTCCATCATATTTACCTTATCTGCATTTCTCTTTTTAGACTGACTCAATAATAACTCTTCCACACACCTATTAAGATTTATATGTAATATAATTAGAAAAATATATTAAGACCAAAGATACTAAAGTATATTGCATATAATTAATTGTTTCTAAAGAACTACTATAGGACAAACACCAAGTAACTCTTTCATCAAGATACTACCTATTAGATCATTGTTGTGAAATAATGCTTCCATTTTGGACAATTTTCTAACTAAATAAATGAAACATCCATGAATATCACATTTCAATAATGAAGTTTTTGACAAGGCTATAAACGTGTCTCTGCTGACTATACATTTCTCTGCCTTCCCAGGGTACATGGAATAAATTTTTTTGATGCACAGATTCATTGTTTACGTTATCAACATTTTATAAACTGTCCTTGGTGCTACCCTCTCTGATACTGACTGGCTGGTCCCAAACTATATTTCTGGGTATTTTATTTTTATGTTTTCTTTCTTTAACTGCTTGGGCTTCAAGTTATAGTTTTCTTTTGATTGCTTAGGTCCTCTAATGGTTTCTTTTCTTTTTTTTTTTTTTTGACAGGCAGAGTGGACAGTAAGAGAGACAGACAGAGAGAAAGGTCTTCCTTTACTGTTGGTTCACCCTCCAATGGCCACTGTGGCCAGCGCGCTGTGGCCAGCGCACCGCAATGACGAAGCTAGGGGCCAGGTGCTTCTCCTGGTCTCCCATGGGGTTCAGGGCCCAGGCACTTGGGCCATCCTCCACTGCACTCCCGGGCCACAGCAGAGAGCTGGCCTGGAAGAGGGGCAACCGGGACAAGAACCCGGTGTGCTGGCGCCGCAGGTGGAGGATTAGCCTATTGAGCCACAGCACCAGCCTCTAATGATTCTTATCAAATGGCTATATAAATAGATTTCTCTCTGGAACTAAAACAAAAAGTGTCAACAATAATCTCTTCACATTTGGAAAAAAAAAAGTCTAGTTTTTCTTCATACTGGTGGCTATGAGGTTAAGTTGTGTTTCGTTTGCCTACTACAGCATTCCAAAGAAATTTAAACTTCAAAGCCTTCAGGAAACCATGTGCTAGTTAGTTTACTATGGGTTCCCCCTCTCCCAACAATTTAATATCTAGTCTCGAAAAGTGTATGAATTAGACCTTTGTCCTATTCAAAGAGAATGTTAAAATACATATTTTCACAGGTTGGGTCTTGGATTTAGGATCAACTACCATTTAGGAAGTACCAACTACCACCTACACCTCAGAAAATACTCATGTTTCTACTTTTTTAAATGGCTCGGAGAAGAGGTATGAAAACAAACACAGGCTATTCTAGGGAATAAACCAATTCAAGTTTTAGATATGTATGGTAGAAACTGCCCTTTACAGATATAGTCTAAGAATAAGCAAAAGAAAATTTTTGTTTTAAATTTGAAAGAGTTAGAGAGGGGGAGAGACAGAGCTCTTCCATCTTCTGGTTCACTCCTCAGATGGCTGCAACAGGCCAGGGGTCTGGAGCTTCATCCGAGTCTCCCACATAGGTGGAAGGGGCCCAAGCATTTGGGTCATTTTTGACTGCTTTTCCCAAGCCATTAGCAGGGAACTGGATCAGAAGTGGAGCAGCTAGGACATGAACTGGCACCTATATGGGATGACAGCACTGCAGGCAGCAAGTGGCTTTACTTGCTATGCCACAATGCTGGCCCCAGTAAAAATATTTTTAAAGTATTTTTAAAAATGATTTATTTACCTATCTGAAAGGCATAGTTAGAGAGAGAGAGAGAGAGAATCGCCCATCTACTGATTGATTCCTGAAATGGGTGCAAAGAACGTGGCTGGGCCAAGCCAAAGCTAGGAACCAGGTGCTTCTTCTGTGTCTCCCACATGGATTCAGGGGCCCAAGTACTTGGGCCATCTTCTGCTGCTCTCCCAGGTGTATTAGCAGGGAGCTGGAATCAAAATGGATCAGCCAGGGGTGGTGCTGTGGCATAGCAGGTTAAAGCCCTGACCTGCAGTACTGCCATCCCATATAGATGCCGGTTAAATTCCTGGGGGCTCCACTTCTAATCCAGCTCCCTGTTAATGAGCCTGGGAAAGCAGTGGAGGATGGTCCAAGCCCTTGGGCTCCTGCACCCACGTGTGGGACGCAAACGAAGCTACTGGCTTCGGATTGGCTCGGCTCAGCCATCTGGGGAGTGAACCAGCAGATGGAAGATCTCTCTCTCTCTCTCCGTCTCTTCCTCTCTGTAACTCTTTCAAATTAATCTTTTTTTAAAAAAGTAGAGTAGCTGGGACTTGAACTGGCACCTCTATGGGATGTCAGCATCACAGGCAGTGGCTTAACTCACTACTCTACAACACTAGCACCCAAAATTTTCTTTTGTTCTTTTTTTTAAAGATTTATTGGCCGGCGCCGCAGCTCACTTGGCTAATCCTCCGCCTGCGGCACCAGCACCCAAGTTTCTATTCCTGGTTGGGGCACCAGATTCTGTCCCGGTTGCTCTTCTTCCAGTCTAGCTCTCTGCTGTGGCCTAGGAAGGCAGTGGAGGATGGCCCAAGTGCTTGGGCCCTGCACCCACATGGGAGACCAGGAGGAAGCACCTGGCTCCTGGCTTCAGATCGGTGCAGCGCGCCGACTGTAGCGGCCATTTGGGGGGTGAACCAACGGAAAAGGAAGACGTTTCTCTCTGTCTCTTTCTCACTGTCTAACTCTGCATGTCAAATTAATTAATTAATTAATTAAAAATATTTATTTATTTGAAAGTCATAGTTACACAGAGAGAGGAGAGGCAGAGAAAGAGAGAGGTCTTCCATCCGATGGTTCACTCCCCAGATGGCTGCAACGGCCGGAGCTGCGCCGATCCAAAGCCAGGAGCCAGGAGCTTCTTCTGGGTCTCCCACGTGGGTGCAGGGGCCCAAGGACTTGGGCCATCGTCTACTGCTTTCCCAGGCCACAGCAGAGAGCTGGATCAAAAGTGGAGCAGCCAGGTCTCAAACCAGCGCCCATATGGGATGCCGGCACTTCAGGCCAGGGCATTAGTCTGCTGCGCCACAGTGCTGGCCCCCCAAAATTTTCAATAGATGGCACAGCCAAAGATATCTTTAAAAAGCATGTAACAATATGAAGAAACACTCATGTTGGTATAGTGAGACAGCAAAACAAGATATAAAATTATATCAGGTAAGCCCAATTTAAAAATATTGTGTGGAAATGGTGCTTAGCCTAGCAGTTAAGATACCTAGGTCCCATATCAGAGTACCTGGATTCCATTCCCAGTTCTGGCTCCTGATTCTGGCCCAAGCACAGACTCAACCATTGTGAAAAGTAAACAAGTGAATAAGAACTCTCTTTCTGTCTGCCTCTCTAAAGTAAATACATAAATAATTCTTTAAATAAATTGTGCAAAAATATACAGATACATACAAAATCAAAAAAGCTATAATGACTAATGCTTAGTAAAATGACAAATTATTTTAATATTACTGTTTGTACCATTCTGCATTATCTATTTCCTCACTAATAATCACATAATATTTTTACAAACTAAAAAAATTTAGAATATTTTAAGTAAATGTTTCAAAAATTCAAACTACTATATAAACTTAAAACTATTTAAATTACTCTGCTTTAATAAATAGCGACATCTCTGTTTATACAGATATATAACACTCTGGGCAAGCAAATTTAGAAACTAGCAGTGGGTGCCAGCTCTGTGGTACAGTCAATTAAACTGCTGTCCACGATGCTGGCATCCCATATGAATGCCGGTACGGTCCCGGCTGCTCCATTTTGAACCCAGCTCCCTATTAATGTGCCTGGGAAAGCAGCAGAAGATGGTTCAAAGAGTTGACTCCTTTCCACCCTTATGGGAGACCCAAATGGCGTTCTAGGCTCCTGGCTTTAGCTTGGCCTACCCTAGGCCATTGTTGCCATTTAGCTCTGTAAGTATGTCTTTCAAATACATACATATATATATATATATGTACACACACACACACACACACACACATAAAGAAAAAGAAGTTGTGGGCTGGTGCTGTGGCATAGTAGGGTAAAACCACCGCCTGCAGTGCCGCCAATCCCATATGGGCACCGGTTTCAGTTCTGGCTGCTCCACTTCTGATCCAGCTCTCTGCTATGACCTGGGAAAGCAGTAGAAGATGGCCCAAGTCCTAGGGCCCCTTCACCACGTGGGAGACCAGAAAGGAGCTCCTGGCTTCAGATGGGCCCAGCTCTGGCCGTTGCAGCCATTTGCAGGGTGAATCAGTGGATGGAAGATTCTCTTTCTCTCTCTCTCTTTCTGCCTCTGCCTCTCTGTAACTCTGCCTTTCAAATAAATAAATAAATCTTAAAAAAAAAAAAAGAGGAAGTTAGCAATGGTACCCGCTTTTAAGAAGGGTCACTGGTTGCCTCAGAAATTTACTTTTTATTCTAGACTCTGTATTTTTTTTTTTTTTTAAGATCTATTTACTTATTTGTAAGGCAGATCATTGGATAGCAGGGTAGGTTGGCTGGCAGATGGAATATGGAAATCTTCCAACTGCTAGTTTACCTACCAAATGGGTGTAACAACTAGGGCTGAGAAAGACCAAAGCCAGGAGACAGAAAACTATCCAGGTTTCTCATGCGGGTAGCAGGAGCCCAGGACTTGGGTCATCATCAGCTGCCTTCCCAAGCATATTAACAGGAAGCTGAACTGGAAGCAGAGCAGTGGGCACCATATCAGCCCCTATGTACTCTTTTTGAATTCTGAAAAATGAACCTATATCATCTATTAAAATTAATTTTAGGGGCTGGTGCTGTGGTGTAGCAGGTATAGCAGCATCCTGCAGTGCTGACATACCACATGGACGCCGGTTCAAGTCCCAGCTGCTCCAGTTCTGATCCAGCTCTCTGCTATAGCCTGGGAAAACAGTGGAAGATGGCCCAAGTACTTGGGCCCCTCACCCAATTGGGAATCCCAAAAGAAGCTCCTGGCTCCTGGCTTTGGCCTGGTCCAGCCCCAGCCCTTGTGGCCATTTGGGGAGTGAGCCAGAGGATGGAAGATATCTCTCTCTCTCTCTGCCTCTGTAACTCTGCCTTTCAAACAAATAAATAAATCTTTAAAAATTAATTTTTTAAAATTAGTTCTACAGTGAATCCTATCACCATAGATTTAATCAGGGATTCCCATAGTAACTTGGGAAATGATAAGGTTTATTATTTTCAGTAAACAGAAAAAGGTTTATGTAGTAAGCATGATGCCAGATTAAGAATATATGTAACAGAAATTAAATGATGTAATATAGTAATTAAAAGAGAACTAAGGGCTGGCATTGTTGTATACTGGGTAAAGCCACAGCCTGTGACACTGGCATTCCACATGAGTGCCAGTTCATGTCTCGGCTGCTCCACTTCCAATTCAGCTCCCTGCTAATGACCTGGGAAATGCAACAAAAGATGCCCCAAATGTTTGGGCCCCTGCCACCCCCATGGGAGACCTGGATGAAGATCCTGGCTCCTGGCTTCAGTCTGCTCCAGCGCTGGATGTTGTAGCCATCTGGGGAGTGAACCAGCAGATGGAAGATTCTCTGTAACTATGACTTTCAAATAAATAAACAAACCTTTAAAAAAGATAACTAAAAACATTTATGTTCTAGACACGGCTCTGTTACTGACAAAGAAATAACCTTGAATAAGTACTTGAACTATTTGTGCCTCAGTTTCGTCCGATGCAAAATTAAAGAATAAAATTAATTTTTTAAAAATTTAGGAGACAAATAGAGACACAGAGAGCAATCCCATTTGCTAGATCACTCCCCAAATGTCTGTGACAACTGAGATCAGAACAAGGAATACAATCTGCATCTCCTAGGTGGGTGGTAGGTACCTAACTTTAGCCATCACCTGCTACCTCCCAAGGTCTGCACTCGCAGGAAGCTGAAATTGGAACAAAGCTGGCAACCAAATCCAGGTACTCTAATATAGGACAAGGTAGTCTTAATCACTAGGCCAAATATCTGCCCCAAGGAATGGAATTAGAACTTTTTTTTTTAAAGATTTATTTATTTATTTGAAAGAGTTACACAGAGAGAGGAAAGGCAGAAAGAGAGAGAGAGGTCTTCCATCCGATGGTTCACTCCCCAGATAGCCGCAATGGCCAGAGCTGTGCTGATCCAAAACCAGGAGCCAGGAGCTTCCCCCAGGTCTCCCACGCAGGTGCAGGGACCCAAGGACTTGGGCCATCTTCTACTGCTTTCCCAGGCCACAGCAGAGAGCTGGATCAGAAGTAGAGCAGCTGGGACTAGAACCGGCGCCCATATGGGATGCTGGCACTTCAGGCCAGGACATTAACCCGCTGTGCCACAGCGCCAGTCCCAGAACTTTTTTTTAAGATTTATTTATTTCCTTTGAAAGTCAGTTACACAGGGAGAGGAAAACACACACACACACACACACACCTAGAGGTGAGGTGGGGAGAAATTTTCCATCTATTAGTTCACTCTCCAGATGGCCACAATGGCCAACACTAGGCCAAGCAGAAGCCTGGAGCTTCCTCCAGGTTTTCCATGTGGGTGGGAGGGATGAAACACTTGGGCAATCTTCATCTGCTTTTATCAAGCCATTAGCAGGGAGCTGGATCGGAACTGAAGTTAGCTGGGACCTGACCAGCACCCATATGGGATGTGGGTATTATACGAAGTGGCTTTACCCACTACACCACAAAGCTGGTCCCAAATTAGAACATTTTTTTTAAAAGATTTATCTTATTTAGTTGAAAGTCAGAGTTACACAGAGAGAGAAGCAGCAGCAGAGAGAGAGAGAGGTCTTCCATTTGCTGGTTCACGCCCCAAATGACCACAACCGCTGGAGCTGTGCAATCCAAAGCCAGGAGCGAGGAGCTTCCTCTGCGTCTTCCCACGTGGGTACAGGGGCCCAAGGACTTGGGCCATCTTCTACTGCTTTCTGAAGCCATAGCAGAGAGCTGGACCGGAAGTGGAGCAGCCAGGACTCAAACCAAACTGGCACCTATATGGGATGCTGGCACTGCAAGCGGCAGCTCCACCCGCTACGCTACAGCGCCAGCCCATTAAATTAGAACATTTTTAAATCTATACCCTAAACAGCTGACTGCCAGTCTTAGTGTTTCAATCACATCAACTAACCTGCCTCCCTCATACTCACAGTGGTTTAAGGCTTGAGTAGGCTTCAAGTTTTAGGCCTTTGTTCACATCTTATCTTTGTAAATCAAAGGGAAAAAATTCATTTTTTTCAATCTGATATTTTAAATAATGTTATGGTAAGAAGACAGAACAAAATAAAAACACTGTAAGTCTTATGTAGTTAAGGGGTCAACTTGTAGAGACAGCCTCTTCTAACATGAAGGCTGACATTTCAATGAAACAAAGAAAACTAAGCAACACTTAAAAGCATCAAAATCATAGCTTAATGACTGGGTCCACAGAGGCCGTTATCTTCCTCATTAACAGATAGTCAAGAAAATGTGGTAAAAATATAGTGAGAAGCCATTTTCTAATTCTAAGATCAGTACTCTCCTTACATAAACATGTTTGCATATTCCGTATGAGAAAGAACAGCAAATGTGTCTCCAGTTTGCACTTTTGATGGAACATTACATTGTAAACAAAGCAGAAATTAACTATTTTAAACAAAATCTTAAAACATCAACACAAGCTCACTTACAGCATTCGACAGGTATTGAAGCTATCTGCAGAGAAAGTACTTTTCCATTGGGCTGTGGGATGTGTACACGAAACACAAGTCGCACTCTAGTATTCTTTCTGCCAATATCAGTTTCTCCTTTTCGAAGTTCTATATCTGAATTGCGGAGTTTCAAAATACCTGCACAGTCAATACTATGGAGAAAAATACAAAATTTTTATTTGCTTATTGATAATCATGGCTCTAAATAACTCAACCTCATAGGTTTATATTATTACTCTGTCAGGGAAGAAGTATCTAATAGAATTAGTTCAAAAAAGAAAGATGGGTATAACTACTCTCCTCTGCTATTCCAACGAAGGGAAGAAAATGTTTTGGTATGACAACAGTGCAATAGTAAGTATGGCAGATCTTTTTTTTTTTGACAGGCAGAGTGGATAGTGAGAGAGAGAGACAGAGACAAAGGTCTTCCTTTTTGCCGTTGGTTCACCCTCCAGTGGCCGCCGCGGCCGGTGCACCATGCTGATCACTGCGCTGATCTGAAGGCAGGAGCCAGGTGCTTCTCCTGGTCTCCCATGGGGTGCAGGGCCCAGGCACTTGGGCCATCCTCCACTGCACTCCCTGGCCACAGCAGAGAGCTGGCCTGGAAGAGGGGCAATCGGGACAGAATCTGGCGCCCCGACCGGGACTAGAACCCGGTGTGCCAGCACCACTAGGTGGAGGATTAGCCTAGTGAGCCGCAGCGCCGGCAGCATGGCAGATCTTCTGCAAAGATGGTTGTCAGTAATTTCTCCCTTTCTTGTACTTGCATTCCTCTCTTCCTGCTAACAAGAGGTAGAGTATCTGTCTTCTCTCCTTGAAAGCTAGTCTGTAACTCACTTGAATAAATGAGTGTGGCCAAATGAAAGTATAAAAATTAAGAACTTAGCACTAGTAATTTTTGCTCTCATAGAGTCCTAAGTAATCAAGTAAAAAGGAAAGAAAGGCCAGACAATCTTCAGCCCCTCCAGCCACCCCAGTTATTTTCAAATTCCATTTGAATTCCCAAAAAATCTAGGTACACAAGTGATCCAGGCTGACACCATGTGAATGAACCAGCTAAGCCCAGTCAACGCAAATAATCACAAAAAATAATAAAAGGCTATTACTTTAAGCCACTAATTTCTGAAGTTATTTATTATGTAGAATTAGATCACTGAAACAAAGTAAAAGACTTTTCATAACATAAATAAAACTAGGTCAGAGGAAGGCACTGTGGTGTAGTGGGTAAAGTCACCACCTGCAGTGCTAGCGACCCAAATGGGCCCCGATTCAGGGCCCAGTTGCTCTACTTTTGATGAAGCTCTCTGCTATGGCCTTGGACAGCAGTGAAAGATGGCCCAAATGCTTGAGCCCCTGCACCCGCATGGGGGAACTGGAGGAGGCTCCTGGCTTCCAATCAGCCCGGCCCTATCCATTGCGGCCTTTTGTGGAGTGGACCAGCAGATGGAAGATCTCTCTCTCTCTTTCTCTGCCTCTCTGTAACTCTACCTTTCAGGTAAATAAAAAAATCTTTAAAAAACGAAACAAAACAAAAACTAGGTCAGAAGATTCACTCACATGAATACAACTAAATCACTATTCGCATCTCTATGTTTTATACTGATGTGTCTAATAATAAAGATAATCCATCAGGCTAAGATTCTTGCATTTCTAAGAAAGGCACATATGAAATAAAGGTTCTACATTTAAGATCTAATAATTCATCATCTTCAAAATTTATTACTACATGGGCCAGCATTGTTAAGCCACTGCTTACAAGACCAGCATTCCATATTGGAGTGCTAGTTTGAGACCTGGCTGCTCTGTTTCTCATCCAGCTCCCTGCTAATCTACCTGGGAAAGCAGCAAAAGATGCCCCAAGTGCCTGGGCCCCTGCCACCCATGTGGGAGACCTAGATGTAGTTCCAGGCTCCAGGCTTTAGCCTAGACCAGCGCAGGCCACTGAAGCTGTTAGAGGGGAAAGCTGTTAGAGGATCTCTGTTTCTATCTCTCTGTCTCTGCCTGCCAAATAAAAAATAAATAATCCTTAAAATTATGACTGCTTATTACTATCATACTAAGGAATAAGAGTAAGTATGATATACCTTTGTTATTTACGTACTAAGAAAAAAAAAGGAAGCAGAATACTAATGATCAAACCTTCTAGCTTACTAGCTCAGAAGCATTCCTTGCTCCAGTCTTTCACTGCATCTACCAACAGTTCTAACTTCAAAGCTCACTGTACAGAGTCTGTAGAAACAGCTTTGGCCGGCGCCGTGGCTCAATAGGCTAATCCTCCACCTTGCGGCGCCGGCACACCGGGTTCTAGTCCCGGTTGGGGCGCTGGATTCTGTCCCGGTTGCCCCTCTTCCAGGCCAGCTCTCTGCTATGGCCAGGGAGTGCAGTGGAGGATGGCCCAGGTGCTTGGGCCCTGCACCCCATGGGAGACCAGGAAAAGCACCTGGCTCCTGGCTCCTGCCAGGATCAGCGCGGTGCGCCGGCTGCAGCGGCGGCCATTGGAGGGTGAACCAACGGCAAAGGAAGACCTTTCTCTCTCTGTCTCTCTCTCTCACTGTCCACTCTGCCTGTCAAAAAAAAAAAATAAAAGAAACAGCTTTGAAGGACAATGTATTAGTACGACAGAACTGTGATAGAACCAGGATATCAGATGATACCATAAAGCATAGAGCATTCAAATGATTTTAGCCCTCAATATTTCAGCTCAGAAAAGTCAGGAGAAGTTTAAAGAAACAATCAATTCTGAAAATAAATACTTCCTATTTGTAGAAAACAAATTGTATTTAACTAACATTGAACAATTATGCTATAATTAATTATTAAATAATTATTTGATCAAAACAGTATTGATCAAATTGTATCAAATTAGTGACTACTCATTTTAAACTGCCAAAACGGTCTTCAGGGCAAATACCAGAGATGATCCATTTTACTGAATACTGACTAAAGGTATTTTAGCAGAGAGCTAAGTTAAAGAATTTGGAATAAAGGCATCAGAAATGACAATCTTAAAACTTTAAAAAATAAAACAAAACACACAAGCCAACCAAAACCTCACATAAAATAATAAAGGACTAAAATCTGATTAAAATGTCAACTAGCTTTACTTTAGGTCTTATTATAGAAATGCCACATTCATATTCATCCTTCTAAAAACAGGGAGGAGTTATGAATAGATGAGGCAATGAATACTGGCATCCTACATTTAAAGTATCTTGTAGGGTGACTGTTATGAGGTAAATGCCAGTCTTCAGTCAAAGAGGTTATATATCCAAGAGAGAATAGGCTTGAAATAACCCAGCCTGTGGGTTAGTAGGCAAAAGCAGAGGAATGTCTACCAAGCTACCTTATTGTCTTTAAAGAACAATAAAACAATTTAATACATACCTACAGCTCACTTATGCATGAATTATTATGAACAATGGTTTTATCTGTCACTCAGAAATTTCATATCCACCACGGTCTGAAACTCTATTTTTTTTGTGATTTTATTTTATTTATTTATTTTTTAACTTTTGTTTAATAAATATAAGTTTCCAAAGTACAGCTTTTGGATTACAGTGGCTTTTTCCCTCCCATAATCTCCCTCCCTTCATTCGTTCATTGTATTGGACACAGAGACCTTTCAACTTAAAGGAAAAAGATGGTGTTTCCTAATGACAAGAGACCTATTAAAAACTTAATCATATTTTCTTCTTGCCTTGATTTCTAGGAAGTTTATGGTGAAGCTTAATTATAGTAACTATAATTTGAATAACCTTATATTTGGGATATATATATATATTTTAAGTTTTATTTGTTTATTTTTAGTTATCTGAAAGACAGAGACAGAGAGATACCCTCCATCTGCTGTTTCCCATCCCCAAATGCCCTTAACAGCTGGGGCTAGGCCTGGATGAAGTCAGGAGCCAGAAATCAACTTGGGTCTCCCACAGGGGTAGCACTTGAGACATCATCTGTTGCCTCTCAGTGTGTGCATCAGCAGAAAGCTAATTCAGACATGGAGGTGGGACATGAACCCAGGCACCCCAATACAGGATGTATCCCAAGCAGCAGCTTAACCTATTGCACTACAATGCCTGCCTCCAGGCTAATTTATTTTGCTATTCCTTCTATTCAAAAAATATTTCTATTTCGGTTTTCTTGGTCTTCTTTGTTACAGGAATATTATTAATATAGGCTTGGGCAGGCGCCGCGGCTCACTAGGCTAATCCTCTGCCTTGCGGCACTGGCACACCGGGTTCTAGTCCCAGTCAGGGCGCCGGATTCTGTCCCGATTGCCCCTCTTCCAGGCCAGCTCTCTGCTGTGGCCCAGGAGTGCAGTGGAGGATGGCCCAAGTGCTTGGGCCCTGCACCCCATGGGAGACCAGGAGAAGCACCTGGCTCTTGCCTTTGGATCAGCGTGGTGCGCCATTGGAGGGTGAACCAACGGCAAAAGGAAGACCTTTCTCTCTGTCTCTCTCTCTCTCTCACTGTCCACTCTGCCTGTCAATATATATATATATATATATATATATATATATATATATATATATAGGCTTAGATGGATGTTACTGCCACTTGCAGCAAGATATACATTCTAGGGGGCCAGCACCATGGCTCAATTGGCTAATCCTCCGCCTTGTGGTGCCAGCATCCCATATGGGCGCCGAGTTCTAGTCCCGGTTGCTCCTCTTCCAGTCTAGCTCTCTGCTGTGGCCCGGGAGGCAGTGGAGGATGGCCCAAGTGCTTGGGCCCCTGCACCCACATGGGAGACCAGGAGGAAAGCCTGGCTCCTGACTTCAGATCAGCACAGCACCGGCTGTAGCGGCCATTTGGGGAGTGAACCAACAGAAGGAAGACCTTTCTCTCTGTCTCTCTCACTATCTATAACTCTACCTGTCAAATAAATTAAAAAAAAAAAAAGATACACATTCTAGTTTGAAGCAATTTCCTTAACAAAATCCCATCTAGGTTTCACACATCTGGCTGTGGTAGATTAACAGCTGGCTACTCCATATCTTTTTCTTCTCTTCTTTCTTAGTAACAGGCTCCTATATTGTTAGAAATGGCAATGTGGGGCCAGCGCTGTGGCATAGCAGGTAAAGCTGCTGCCTGCAGTGCTGGCATCCCATTTGGGTGCCAGTTCGAGTCCAGGCTGCTCTACTTCTGATCCAGCTCTCTGTTATAGGCTGGGAAAGCAGTATAAAATGGCCCAAATCCTTGGGCCCCTGCACTCGCCTGGGAAACCTGCAGGAAACTGCTGGCTCCTGCTTCAGATAGGCCTGGCCCTGGCCATTGCAGCTGTCTGGAGAGTGAACCAGCAGATGGAAGACCTGCCTCTCTTTCAAATTAATAAATAAGTCTTAAAAAAAAAAAAAAAAAAGGAAGTGGCAATGTGCTGAGGTAAAAACAAAAACAAATCTAAGTTTTCCTAACACATAAAGATTATCAAGGAGCGGCTGGAGACATGGCACAGTGAGTTAAGCCACTGCCTGAGACGCTGGTATCCTATATGGGCACCAGTTTGTATCCCAGCTATTCCACTTCCAATCCAGATCCCTGTTAATGCACCTGAGGATGGTCCAAGCACTAGGGTGCCTGCCACCCATGTGGGAGACCTGTAAGAAGCTCCTGGCTCCAGCCTGGCTCAGTTCTGGCTATTGCAGCCATTTGGAGAGTGAACCAGCAGATGGAAAAATACCTATCTCTCTCTCTCTCCATACCTCTGCCTTTCAAATAAATAAATAAACATATGTATTTATATATATATATATACACATATATATTTTTAAATTTTTTAAAGATAATTTTAAAGATAATCAATGAAAGTATAGGATTTCTGGGTAAACTTTCTTTTAAAAAAGATTTATTTTTTATTTATTTTAAAGGCAGAGTTCCCGGCACCGCGGCTCACTAGGCTAATCCTCCGCCTTGCAGCGCCGGCACACCGGGTACTAGTCCCGGTCGGGGTGCCGGATTCTGTCCTGGTTGCCCCTCTTCCAGGCCAGCTCTCTGCTGTGGTCCGGGAGTGCAGTGGAGGATGGCCCAAGTCCTTGGGCCCTGCACCCCATGGGAGACCAGGATAAGCACCTGGCTCCTGCCATCAGATCAGCACGGTGCGCCAGCCACAGCGCGCCGGCCGCAGCGGCCATTGGAAGGTGAACCAACGGCACAGGAAGACCTTTCTCTCTGTCTCTCTCTCTCACTGTCCACTCTGCCTATCAAAAAAAAAAAAAAAAAAAAAAAAAAAAAAAAAAAGTAAAGGCAGAGTTATAGAGAGAGAGGAGGAAAAACAGAAAGGAGGGGGTCTTCCACCAGCTGATTCACCCACCAAATGGCCTCAACAGCCAGGGCCGGGCTAGGCTGACGCCAAGAGCTTCTGCTGGGTCTCCCACCTGGCTGCAGGGACCCAAGGACTTGGGCCATTTTCCATTGCTTTCCCAGGCACATTAGCAGGGAGCAGGATCAGAAGTAGAGCAGCTAGGTCTTGAACCAGAACCCATATGGGAGGTTGGCATCACAGAGGCCTAACATGCAATACCATGATACAAGCCCCAAAAACTTCCTTTCAACAAGGACTAACTCAGCCGGCACTACGGCTCAATAATCTTCCGCCTGTGGCACCGGCACACTGGGTTCTAGTCCCGGTCGGGGCGCCGGATTCTGTCCTGGTTGCCCATCTTCCAGGCCAGCTGTCTGCTGTGGCCCGGGAAGGCAGTGAAGAATGGCCCAAGTGCTTGGGCCCTGCACCCATATGGGAGACCAGGAGAAGCACCTGGCTCCTGGCTTTGGATCAGCGTGGTGTGCCGGCCACAGCGGCCTTTGGAGGGTGAATGAACAGAAAAGGAAGACCTTTCTCTCTGTCTCTCTCTCACTGTCCACTTTGCCTGTCAAAAAATAAATTAATTAATTTAAAAAAAAAAAAAAAAAAGAGGACTAACTCAAGTGGAAGTCCCCTTTACACTTCCTCTCTTATTCCTATAGAAACATGGTTGTGATGGCAAGAGCTCCCGAAGCTGTTTTATATCATGAGGCAATTTAAAGATAGAAATACCTGATAAAGATAGAAAAAAAGAAAGAACACAGGGCCGGCGTTGTGGCATAGCAGGTAAAGCTGTCACCAGCAATGCTGGCATCCTATATGGGCGCCTATTCAAGACCTGGCTTCTTCACTTCCGATCCAGATTTCTAAGCTATGGCCTGGGAAAGCAGTGGAAGATGGTTCAAGTGCTTGGGTCCCTGCACCCTCATGGGAGACTCAGAAGAAGCTCCTGGCTTCAGATTGGCACAGCTTTGGCCATTGTAGCGCTTTGGAGAGTGAATCAGTGGATGGAAGACTTCTCTCTGCCTCTGCCTCTCTATAACTCTTCCTTTCAAATAAATAAATAAATCTTTAAAAAATAATAGAAAAAAACAGAAGTAGCTGGAGACCCCAATGGCTTACAGAGCCACTGTGCTAGTCCTAAAATAGCTATCTATATATTTCTTTTTTTTTTTTTAAGATTTATTTATTTATTTGAAAGTCAGTTACACAGAGAGGCAGAGAGGGAGAAAAAGAGGTCTTCCATCCACTCGTTCATTCCCAATTGGCTGCAACGACAGAGCTGTGCCGATCTGAAGCCAGGAGTTTCCTCCAGGTTTTCCATGCGAGCGCAGGTACCCAAGGACTTGGGCCATCTTCCACTGCTTTCCCAGGCCATACCACAGAGCTGGATCAGAAGTGGAGCAGCCAGGACTCGAACTGGCACCCAAATGGGATGCCAGCATGCAGGCAGTAGCTTTACCCACTACATCACAGTGCCAGCCCCAATCTATTTATTTCTTTTATGTGATAATAACTGTTTATTTCTTTTTTAATGTGATCTGTTTAAGCCACTGGTATTTGAGGTTACTATCATACATTGCCAGGTAAAAATCCTAACTAATTTACTTGAACAAAGCTCTATTATCACCCTCATCCAGAAATTGACCAATTTATATTATCTTAAAAGGAGTCAAATGGATTGACTGGAGGCAAAGTCAAAGTTTTCCTTAAGGAAACTTACAACCATAATTGTACTAATAACAATTTATTAATTACCTACAATGTTACACTGTCAACAAAAACTTGATTTAAGTCCATGTATTTTTGTTTCTATGCTCAGGACAATGCTCACCTAGTAGAATATGTTCCATAAACATTTACTGAACTGACTTATCCTTCTGAAAATAAGCGATCACCTTTAGCAAACATACTATAATTATCTACAAAATGTCATTCAGTTAATTCAGAACAATGACTATTTTACTTTTTTTTTTTTTTTTTTGGACAGGCAGAGTGGATAGTGAGAGAGAGAGACAGAGAGAAAGGTCTTCCTTTTGCCGTTGGTTCACCCTCCAATGGCCGCCACGGCTGGTGTGCTGCGGCCGGCGCACCGCGCTGATCCGAAGGCAGGAGCCAGGTGCTTCTCCTGGTCTCCCATGGGGTGCCGGGCCCAAGAACTTGGGCACCGCTACGTGGAGGATTAGCCTATTGAGCCGCGGCGCCGGCCTTTACTTTTATACTAAAAACCAAGGATACATTTCCCCCCATGCTGAAAGTTGTTTTAGAAAAAGAACGAACTGCCTATTTGGGGGTATGTTCCACAATACCTGGCTGACATATTGTTTTCAGGAAGAAGTGGAATTTCCAGAACTTTTGTGCTGGCAATTATTATCTCTTGGCTTGCAGTAGCAACTGTCTTCCCAGTGATTCGATGCACTTGGTAGAATGCATGAGGTCGTAAATATCGATCATCTGCTGTTCCAATAAACATCTGTAGATTTACTGGCTTTTCACTGTAGCCCAGGAGCTGATCAGGTAAAACAGAACAGAAAAGCTCAATTCATTACGCATGCATTTATGAGTTTATAAAATTAATTTATATCTGTATAGTATTCTGTTGACACATAAAATGTTATTTCAAACAAAACAACAAAAGAAAAGTAATCAGTAATGTCTCCCAAGTTTCTGAAGTAATTTAAGAATTATAAAACACTAGAATATCTCACAAAGGGATGTGAAGCTTTTTTTTTTTTGATATAACCAAATCAATGAAAATATTACAAGCCTTCTTGATTCTGCTGTAGCGAAAACAAATAAATGCTGATTCTGTACTCTGTATAACATTAACCATTCAAAGCAGACCTAAAGATTTGGGTGTAGGGGAAGGTCCTCAACAGCCTGTTAAAATCAAATATACTTTGTTTTAGTAGTCTTTGAAGAACCCTATCCTATGTCACCAACTTAGAAGAATTTCAAGTGACTTAACAAGCCAGACTACTTGACTTTCCTTGGACTCTTCACCATTACTGATGATGTTAAGATGGTAACAGGGCAAGTGCTTGGGCCCTGCAACCTGGAGACCAGGAGGAAGCACCTGGCTCCTAGCTTCAGATTGGTGCAGTGCACCGGTTGTAGTGGCCATTTGGGGGGGGGGGGGGGGGACCAACAGAAGGAAGACCTTTCTCTCTGTCTCTCTATTTCTCTCATTGTCTAACTCTGTCAAAAAAAAAAAAAAAAAAAAAAAAAAAGATGGTAATAGGGGGCCAGCATGTGGCATAGCGGGTAAAGCTGCCACCTGTGATAATGGCATCCTATACGGGCGCTGGTTTGATACCTGGCTGCTCTATAATTCAGTCTAGCTCTCTGCTAATGACCTAGGAAAGCAGCGGAACATGGCCCAAGAGTTTGGGCTCATGCACCCACATGGATGATTCAGAAGTTCCTGGACTCGGGGCCGGCGCCATGGCTCAATTGGTTAATCCTCTGCCTGCGGCACCGGCATCTCATATAGGCGCCGGGTTCCAGTCCCGGTTGCTCCTCTTCCAGTCCAGCTCTCTGCTGTGGCCCGGGAAGGCAGTGAAGAATGGCCCAAGTGCTTGGGCCCCTGTACCCACATGGGAGACCAAGAGGAAGCGCTTGGCTCCTGGCTTCGGATCAGCGCAGTGCGCCAGCCATAGTGGCCATTTGGGGGGTGAACCAATGGAAGGAAGACCTTTCTCTCTGTCTCGTTCTCTAACTCTATCTGTCAAATAAAAAAAAAAGTTCCTGGACTCCCGACTTCAGCCATTTGAGGAGTGAACCAGGAGATGGAAAATCTCTCTCTTTCTCTTCCTTTCTCTCTAACTCTTTCAAATAAATAAATAAATCTTTAACAACAACAACAAAAAGATGGCAATATGGGATTAACTGACCTGGAGGATGACCAAGAGCTTCTGGAGGCAAAAATGGTGACCACAATAGGGGTAACAATGAAAAGAAATAAAGATAAAAGAAATAGATAGATAGATAGAGAAAGTGTTTTCATCTGCTGGTTTACTCCCCAAATGTTCACAACAGATGGCGCTAGGCTGGGCTTTGGCCAAACCGAGGTTAGGCTGGGGCAGAAGCCAAGAGCCAGGAACTCAATCCAAGTCTCCAATGGGATGGCAAAAGCTCAATTATTTGAGCTGTTATTGCTGCCTCTCAGGGTCTGCAACAACAAGAAGCAGAGAGTCAGATTCGAAGCCAGGATTGGAACCCAGGTGCTCCGATGTAAGATGCAGGCATCTTGACTTCTAGGCTAAACTCTCATCCTTATTTCTTGTTTGGACATTATAAATATGAGTTGATCATTCTTAAAAAAATTTACTTATTTATTTATTTGTTTGTTTGTTTATGTGTTTATGTGAGAGGCAGGGTCAGAAAGAGAGAGGGAGAGAAAGAGAAGGGGGGAGGAGGTTTTCCATTTGCTGGTTCACTCCCCAAATGGCCACAATGGCTGGAGCTGGGGCTGATCCAAAGCCAAGAGCCAGGAGCTTCTTTTGGATATCCCAAGTGGGTGCAGGGGTCCAAGCACTTGGGCCATCTTCAACTGCTTTCTCAGGCCATCAGCAGGAACTGGATCAGAAGTGGAGTAGCTGGGACTCAAACTGGCACCCACTTGGGATGCTGACACTGCAACTTTACTCACTACGTCACAGTGCCAGCTACTGATTATGCTTTAAAAAGCACTAACACAGCAATACTCCCAAGATTTGAAACACTGTTGAGTTGCTTTTTAGGATTCATTTATTTATGATTTGAGACGGCAAGAAAGAGAGAGAGAGAGAGAGACAGAGAGACAGAGATTACAACAGTGTTTTACTTTGGGCAGTAAGTACTACTCTCTACAGCAGGAAGGGTTTTGAAATTTTCTGGAGGCACACTTAGTTGTCAACATGATAAATGGGGTGCCCTATAAGCATTCAGTGAGGAATCAAGAGATTCAAATCCCTCTCAATAACTGGGACAGTCATAGCTCTTTAAAATGAAGAATTAGCTATAGAAAACTTCAGTATGTCTTTTCAGATAGTCATGTAAAAGGAAAAGTTTATAAATGTAAAATTCCTCAGTATATATAAATACAAAATAAACTTTGTAGGTTTAACATATATGAATTTTTCGGGGCCGGTGCCGTGGCTCATTTGGATAATCCTCCACTTGTGGCGCCGGCATCCCATATGGACGCCAGATTCTAGTCCCAGTTGCTCCCCATCCAGTCCAGCTCTCTGCTGTGGCCCAGTGAAGGATGGCCCAAGTGCTTGGGCCCCTGCACCCATATGGGAGACCAGAAGGAGGTACCTGGCTCTGGCTTCGGACTGGCGTAGCTCCGGCCGTAGCGGCCATTTTGGGGGTGAACCAATGGAAGGAAGACCTTTCTCTCTGTCTCTCTCTCTAACTCTGCCAAATAAATAAATTTAAAAAATATATGAATGTTTCGTGAATGTATCTACCATATAGAGTTCTTCATTTAGACTGCCAGTAATGCAACTCATGGAATTTGGGCTGCCAATCATCACACCTGCCTCGTCACCTCCAATAATGCAGGTATGAATGTTTGAGGGGGTCAGCGCTGTGGTGTAGCAGGTAGGACCACTGCCTGCAGTGCCCACATCCCATATGAGCGCTGGTTCAAGTCCTGGACTTGGGACACCAAATCCTGTATCAGAGTGTCTGCTCCACTTCCAGTCAGGCTCTTTGCTATGGCCTGGGAGAGCACTGGAAGATGGCCCAAGTGCTTGGGCCCCTGCACCTGCGTGGAGATCTGGGAAGCTCCTGGCTCCTGGCTTTAGACTGGTGCAGCTCTGGTCATTGCGGCCATCTGAGGAGTAGCACCAGCTGTGGCGGCCATTTTGGGGGGGGTGAACCAACGGAAGAAAGACCTTTCCAAGGGATGGAAGACCTCTCTCTCTCTCTCGCTCTCTGCCTTTCCTTCTCTCTCTCTGTAACACTGACTTTCAAATAAATAAATAAACCTTTAAAAAATGTATGTATATACATATATATCTATTTATACCATTTGAGAGAGAGGGAGAAAAACACTCCCATCCACTGGCCTACTCCCCAAAAACCAGGGGCTAGAAACCCAATAAAAGTCTTCCACATAGGTGGCGGGAACTGAACTATTTGAGCCATCACTGTTGATCCCGAGTCCACACTGGCGGGAAGCTGGACCTGGGTGCTGGGCCAAGTATTAAACCTAGATACTCCAACGCGGGACATAAGCAACACAACTGGCATCTAACAGCAAGGTCAAATGCCCACCCAGAAAAATACTTTTTAATTAAAATTTAGTTTCCATGTTTATTTCCTCTGAATAGTGTGTCAAATTGATATTCTCAAATTTGCATGTTTACTCAATTACATTATCTTCAAATTTCCTTTTTTTTTTTTTTTTTTTTTTGACAGGCAGAGTGGACAGTGAGAGAGAGAGAGAGAGAGAGAGAGAGACAGAGAGAAAGGTCTTCCTTTTGCCGTTGGTTCACCCTCCAATGGCCGCCACGGCTGGTGTGTTGCGGCCGGCGCACCGCGCTGATCCAATGGCAGGAACCAGGTGCTTCTCCTGGTCTCCCATGGGGTGCAGGGCCCAAGCACTTGGGCCATCCTCCACTGCACTCCCCAGCACAGCAGAGAGCTGGACTGAAAGAAGGGGAGCCGGGACAGAATCCGGCACCCCGACCAGGACTAGAACCAAGTGTGCCGGCACCACAGGTGGAGGATTAGCCTATTGAGCTCCAGCTCCGGCCATGGTTATTAACTTGTATATACTCTTTACATATACTAAAGATAATAGTTTGTCTATGTTAAAAGTTGCAAATCTATTTTTTAAAATTTGTAATGAATTCTGGTTCTTGATTTCAATTTCTGCTCTTCAAAAGGGAATAATTTTCAACTCTTTTAGCTGTTTCTTCTGGATTTTGCTTCCATATTTTCTTTTATAAGAACTATTTATTTATTTGAAATCCAAAGTTACAGAGGGAGAGGGAGAGATAGCTTCTTCCAGGTCGCCCACATGAATGGCAAGAGCCCAAATACTTGGGCCAGCTTCCGCTGCTTGTCCCTGGCACATTAGCAGGGAGCTGTGTTGGAAATGGAGCATCTGGGGCTTGCACTGGTGCCCTTATGGGGTGCCAGCATTGTATGAGGTAACTTTACCTCCTGCTACACCACAATGCCACCCCCTTGCTTCCATATTTCTAAAACAGCAGGCTTACACTGACATTTCATAATTTTTTTCTAGGTTATATATATTTTGATTATCTACCATGAAAGAGCAGATATTGGCTCTTGTATAATACTGATTTCCCTATTCTCTCAACAAGGCTATACTTGTTAGAAGTTAAATCAACATTCAGTGATGGGGCTGGCACTGTGGGTAGCGGGTAAAGCCATCTGCAGTGCTGGTATCCCATATGGGCGCTGGTTTGAGTCCCGGCTGCTCCTCTTCCAATCCAGCTCTTTGCTGTGGCCTGGGAAAGCAGAAGATGGCCCTAAGTCTTTGGGCCCATG